TTGTTGAGGTTACAGCTGTATGGCACCTGGCTTTTAAACGGCTTCATGGGTGCTAGGGATCCCAGAACTCAGCCACAGTCAAACCCCCCCCCCCTTATTTTTAAACTCTTTTGTGGTGCTGGGGTGAAACCCAGGACCTTGTGAATGCTACCCAAAAGCTCCATTTCTGGGCTGATTTGTTAACTTGTTTACTTACTAGGTGTAAATCTATTCTTTTGTTTGTTTGTTTCTTCATGAGTCGATTTAGATAGTTTGTGTTTTTCTATGAATTTGTACATTTCATATAGATTATCCAGTTCTCTGACACACTAATTGCACTTTCCTTGGGTTAAAATTTCATAGTTCTGGTTTCAAAAGTTTTTGGCTTATTTCTAAAAAGTTTGCATATGGGAAGTGTACAGCCTCTGCATTAGAATCAAGAGCTTACTATTGGTCCTTGGGGTTTCCTCTCATTCTCTTTAAGAAGTGGGGGCTGGAGAGACAGCTCAGCAGTTAAGAGCACTTACAGATGATCCGGGTTCAGTTCCCAGTACTCCTGTGACTCCTCCAGTTGTCTATAACTCCATTTCTAGAGGATTCAACACCCTCTTCTGGCCTCCATGGGCACCGACTGCATGCACTGCACATACGTGTAGGCAGGCAAACACACATATAAAATAAAAAAATGAATAAATCTAAAAATAATATAGAAGTAAGTGTAAAGCTCCCATCTTTACTCAGAGTTTTTTACCTTTTGCCTATCCATGGGCTCTTTAGGAGGAGGTGGAGGGTAGTGGTTTTTAAGACAGGATGCTTATATCCTTGTCTGGGCTGGAACTCAGAGATCTGCCTGCCTCTGCCTACCAAGTGCTGGAATTAAAAGGTGAGTGGCAATAGGCCTGACCCTTTCCGTAGGCTCTTAATTTTGTTGTTCCCTTCCCAATTTCCAGTCCCTATCTTGATTAGAAAAGGGAAGTTAGAATTTTATATTTTATTTTTCAGTTTGTGTAACAAAACGTTTAGTTTGATTCCAAATGGGTCATTGGAGCTGGCCGCAGTTTCTTTAGCAGGAATATATACTGAGCACACTGTGTGCAGGCTTCAGGCACTGGAGCAGCGGAGGGGAAAGCAGCCTCTTCCAGCTTCCTTCTGTTTAGCTGGGGTTTCCATAAATACCAAGTACACTGTGTCTAGTGTTAGATGGAGATGCCCAGTGGAGGAAAAGCAGGAGAGGGAGCTGGAAGTTCCCGGAGCCTCAGGCTCTGCTTGTAACCGCAACGGTTCCGTTTATTACTAAATGCAACAGCATTTTCAGGGTTAACTGGGTGAGGGTATCACCAGCCTAGCTTATCTTATCTGGTCTTGATGACAACTCGATAAGTCAGTGGGAGGACAGACAGTTTTACTGTTAATTTATGGGTAGCAGCTCAAGCCAGTAAAGGTTAGGTTATTTGCCCAGGATCCCATGACTAAGACCAACTGACCATTAAAGGAAGGAAGGAGAGACCCTGAGAAGAGACCCTGGTAGCTCTTTTTTGTTTGTTTGGTTGGGGTTTTTGTTTTTGTTTTTTTCTTTGTTTTTTTTGAGACAAGGTTTCTCTGTGTAACAACCCAGGCTGTCCTGGAACTTGCTTTTTAGACCAGGCTAGCCTCAAACTCACAGAAATCCTTCTGTATCTGCCTCTGCCTCCCTAATGCTGGGCTTAAAGCCATATGCCACCACTGCCTGGTTGTTGATAGCTTTTTTCACACTGAATTTTTACCTTTATTTTTTTGTGGTACTGATGATCAAATTTAGATCCTCAAACCAGTTAGGCATTTACCACTCCGCTGAGCTGTATATTCCTAGCCCTCTCATTCTGAGACAGGGTCTGATTAAACTGGCTTTGGACTCATTCTGTAATTCAGGCAAACCTTTTGAATTCACAGTTCTCCTGCCTCAGCCTTCAGAGCAGTTGGGCTTACAGACCTATGCCAGTAAACACTGCTGCTGTTGCTGCTCTTCCTCTTCCTCACGGGACTGGAAGTGGCTGCTGAGATAAGAGTGAGTTTGGAAACTCCTTACCATATAATCTCTCTTATTTTTCTTTTGTGGTGCCAGAGACAGAGGGGAATAGAGCTCAGCTCTTACGTATTCTAACCATATACTCTACCGTTGAGCCTCAGTGTGCTCTGTGGTACATTATGGGTGTTGCGAATTATCTGATTTTTAACAAAAATTGTGTAGGAGAAATGGCCTAGTTGGCAAAGCATGTGAGGACCTGAGCTCAAATGCCCATAAAACCTACCTATAGCCCAGGCCCAGCTCCTCTCCTGGTGCTTCTACAGTGAGCTGAGAACAGGAGAGTCCTCAGAAGCTCACGGAGCAGCAGCCTGGTGTACACAGCCCTGAGCTGTATCTAACCTCCATGTGTCCACCAGGGCACACTGTGCCTGTGCTTGTGCACTGGAAAGCACAGACACCCCACCCCCAAGATAAAAACACCAGCTCCTGCCGACTCTCCTCCTCTGCCTCCAGCTCTTTTTAGGAATGCTAGATTATAGGCATACACTTCTATATCTGGCGTTTTTTACTTGGGTTCTAAGAATGTAACTCACATTATCAGGTTTGCATGACAAATGTTTTACCTACTGACTCAGCTCCTAGATTTTAAAGCCTTCTTAGTGGTGTGAAATTGAGAGGCATTTGTATTACCTGAAATTTTAAATTGTATGTCAGATTTTGAATTTGTATCATTTTTCAAATTACTTGTGTTTCTTTCTTTCATGGTGCTGGGCACTACAAGACATGGCTTGTTCTAGCCCACCTTCTGCTGTTGAATGGCTGCAGTGAATTTGTGTTTTTGCAGTTGCCACTACTGCCAGCCAACCTATAGCTTTCCAGCGAGAAAGGGTAAGGGTAGGTTAAGTGAAGAGGCCTCACTCCCATAGCTTGTACATTGAAGATTGCTCTCAGGTCCAAGGCAGTAAAACAAGTGGATACAAAAGGCATGTAAGGTGTGCCTGCTACTGGAGGGGTGAAGAGGTTCGCCCCAGACCTGGTACTGTGGTGCTCAGGGAGATGAGATGCTCTCAGAAGTTCAGTGAGCTTATCTACAGTTTCCCACCAGCTGGTGTAAGAAATCATTCAGGACTTCAAAACTGATTTGTGCATCCAGATTGTAACCGTTGGTGCTTTGCAGATAAGATGGAGGAGGTGAGGCCTGTCTGCCTGGGCGTCTTTGAAGATACCAGCCTCTGCTGTCTGTGCCATATCTGCAAACATCATGCCAGAAGACACCCAGCCACCATATAGGCAGAGAATAAGCTTAAGAATCCACAGTAGAGGCTGAAGAGATGGCTCAGCAGTTAAGAGCACATACTGCTCTTGCAGACAACCTGGGTTCGGTTTCCAGCACCCATGGGGTAGCTAACAGCTATCCACAACTTGAGTTCTAGGGGATCAGGCACCTTCTTCTTACCTGAAGGCACCAGACATATGTGGTATAGACATGCATGCAGAAAAATACTCATGCATAAAATAAAATAAAAATAAATTTTGGAAAAAGAAAAGAAAAAGGAGGGCTGTAGTCTTGTCACAGCTTCTCTTTTCCTGCCCCATTGCTGGCTTCCTTTCTGTCACATTTTGTATGTGTGTGGTAGACTATATAAACCGTGAAACTTGCCGCTTAACTCTCTTCAGTTGCACTAAGTTTATGCAGTAACCATCACTACCGTCTCCAAAGCTTTTACCAACTTCTGCAGGAACTCTGTATCTGTTAGGCAATAACTCACCGTTTCCTTCACTCCAGCGCTGCGAGGCTTTCACTTCCCTGCTCAAGACACTTCATTTAAATAGTGTGTGCCTGTTGTATTTGGCTTACTTTGCTTAGCAAA